CATTTATTGAAGAGACTATTTTTTCTTCAGTGTGTCTTTGTGTTACCTGTGTTGAAAATTAGTTGACCATCTGGTTTGGATTTATTTGTGGGCCTTTTATTCTGTTCCATCAGTCTATATATCTGTTTTTATGCAAGTGCCATACTGTTTTGATTACTATAGCTTTGTAATGTAATTTTAAATCAGGAAGTGTGGTGCTTCCAACTTTTTTCCCCCTCAGAATTGCTTTGACTATTCAAGGTCATTTGTAGTTTCATATAAATTTCAGGATTGCTTTTTCTATTTCTGTGAAGAATGCCATTGGGATTTTGACAGGAATTACATTAAATGTATATGTTGGTTTAGGTAGTATGGACATTTTAACATTAATTCTTCTAAACCATGAGCATAGAATATCTTTCCATTTACTCATGTTCTTTTCATTTTTTCCATTAATTTTTTATTGTTTTCAGTATACAGGTCTTTTATCTCATTGATTACATTTGTTTCTAGGGGTTTTTTTTTTTTATGCCATTGTAGATGGAATTGTTTTCTCAATTTCTTTTTCAGCTAGGTTATTATTTATGTATAGAAATGCCATATATTTTTGCTTGTCTGGGACCACTTTGCTAGGTATAGTATTCTTAGCTGATTTTTTTTTTCTTTTAGCACTTTGAATATATAATTCCATTCTTCCCTGGTCTGCAAAGTTTCTGCTGAGAAATCCACTGATAGTCCAATAGGGATTCCCTTACATGTGACTTGACATCTTTCTCTTGTTGCTTTTAAAAAATCCTTTTTGTTTTTGACTTTTGATAGTCTAATTATAATGTGCATTGGAGAGGACTTCTTTGGGTTGAATGTCTGTATGATATTTGAGCTTCATGTATCTGCATCTCCATATCTCTTTCAAGACTTGAGAAGTTTTCAGCAATTATTTCATTAAGTAAGCTTTCTGTCATTATCTCTATCTCTTCTGTTTCTGAAACTACCATAATGTGAAAATTTGTTTGCTTAATGGTGTTCCATAATCCCAGTAGGCTATATTCACCCTTTTATATTCTTTTTCCCCCCTGATGGTTGGGTAATTTTAAAAGACTGATCTTCAAATGCAGAGATTCCATCTTCTGATTGATCTAATATGCCACTGAAGCTCTCTATTGTATTTTTTATTTTATTCATTGACTTCTTCTGTTCCAAGATTTATTTTTGATTTTTATGTATGATATCTATTGAGTTTCTCATTCAGTTCATAAATTGTTTTCCTAATTTCATTGAATTATCTCTCTGTATTCTCTTTGTCTTACTGAGTTTTCTTAAAATCCTTATTTTGCTTTTCTTTTGGGGCAATTCATAAATTTTCTTTTCCTTGGGGTCAGTTACTGGAGAATTATTGTATTTCTTTGATGTTGTCATGTTTCTTTGCTTTTTCTTATTTCTTGTGTTGCTGCATTGATGTCTGTGCATCTGGTGGAGCAACCACCTTTTCCAAACTTTGCAGAGTGGCTTTCATAGAGAAAGACTTTCACCTGTAAGTAGATCTTAGTGTGCTAGTTGGGAAGAATGTGGTTCCAAGTAGATGCAATGATATAGCCTCTGTGCAGCTTCAGCTGTGATCAATGCCAGCAGTTACTCCAGGTGTCTCAATGGTCTAGGCTAAAGGATTTTGTGACAGTAGTAGCAGCAGTGTAAGTTGTTAAAGTCCTCAGTGGCAAGGGCTTTTGGAGTCCTCTGTTGTCATTTTTTCCACAATGGGGAGAACTAGCCAAGGGGATCCCTCTTGTTGTCAGATCTGACATGCCCACAAGTAGTACCTTGGACCCTGAGGGTTAGGGAATAGCACCCTAGGGGAGGGTGTGTCTCAGCAGCTCAGACTCTAGGGTGCTAGTCCAGCTCCAGGGAAGCAAGGTATATAGTTGTTTGGCCTGTAGAGTGGGGTATCTTATCTCAGCCATTGCTTTGTTTCCCCAAGATGCTAGGTACTATGTCAGGTAAGTCCTGGGAGCCACAGCTGTTTGGCTTGGCCAAGACACAGATTTCCTTGGAGGCAGAACTTAGGCCCAGGTGGTGTCACTGCTCTGAGCAGGGAAGTCAACAATTCCCCAGAAGATAGGGCACCACTTCAGGCCAGACCCAGGGTATATGGCTTCTCTGTGTGGCCAAGACATTGATTCCCAGGCAGAAGGGTGATAGCTTGGCTCAGACCCTCAGGGATGCCTCCACAGTGATAAATGGGAGAGGAAAAGGAAGCAGCTCCATAGCAGCTTGGCCCTATAGGACAGGGGGTGGCAGCAGCTCAGAGCAGAGATGGTGGGCTGGGCACCAGGTAGGCGTGATTCAGCAGTGACGAAGCCTCAAAGATGGAAGGATGCCATGGCCACTCACCTCTGGAGTAGGACACACTCCAGCAGTGGTTCTAGTTCCAAGATGGCATAGCACAGTCGCCGTGTGGGCTATGGGAGGTTGGGCACAGTGTCTGTTTCTTCTCTGGTGAGAGATAGTTGTGTGGACTCCAGGCAGCTCCCTTAGCTGGGCTTAGCACCTATGAGTACTGCAGGAGTTCCCAGTGATGAGGACTGTAGGTGTCTAAGGTGGTGGTGGTGGGGAGGGTCTTAGGGTTCTCTTGCTTACTTTTTTCTAACAGAGAGAAGTTTCTTCTGGTTCTGAGCTTATCCTGACTGGAGGATGGAGTGACAAAGGCAAGGTGCTTGCTTCCATTCTTTATGTGACCATCCTGGGTTTCTGTGCTCTACAGGGTTTTTACTACTCCTTTGATATACTCCAGAATTCTCCTTTAGTTTTTTTTTTTTTATCAAAATGTAGTTGTTAATTAATTTTTTTGTCTGTCTTTGTGGGAGGAACAAGTGATAAGGTCTTCTAGTTGGTCATCTTGCTGACATAATGCCTCCTACTTGATTTCTTTAGTGTTATTTTTTTTCTGGATGTGATATTTTGAAATATATATTTGGTATTTGACCTCATTTTCTGGCATACAACTCTAAGATCCTTAGAATCTTCAAAGTGATGTCTTTTTGTATGAATGAGGGCTGGCAAGCCCTAGGTATCTTCAGGATGGGGGCTGGTCACAGGAAAGACCAAGGCATGGTTAGAGTGTTGGGATTTTCAGCCCACCCTCCAAACTCTGGTGAGAGGAAGGGGACTGAAGTTTAAGTTGATCGCCAATGGCCAATAATTTAATTAATCATGCCTACCTAATGAGGTCTCCATAAAAACCTAAAAGGACTGGGTTCAGTTGCTTCCAGATAGCTGAATACATGGAGGTTTACAGGAAGACATACAAGAATGCATCCATGAACAAGAACAAGAACTCATCATGTGCTGGGAGGATGGTGTACCCCAACTCCATGGGGACAGAAGCTCCTGCACTTGGGACCCTTCTAGACCTCATTCTATGTAGCTCTTCATCTGGATGTTTATTTGTATCCTATAAAATATCCTTTGTAGTAAACTGGTAAATATAAGTAAATGTTTCCTTGAGTTCTATGAGCCACTCCAGCAAATTAATCAAACACGAGGAGAGATTGTAGGAACCCCAATTTATAGCTGATCGGTCAGAAGCACAAGTAAAATAACCTGGGGGTTGTGATTGGCATCAGAAGCAAGGGGCAGTCTTGGGTACTGAGCCTTCAACCTGTGGGGTCTGAAGCTATCTCCAGGCAGATAGTATCAGAATTGAACTGGAGGACATCCAGTTGGTATCTGCTTCAGAACTGATTGCTTGCTTGGTGGTGAGGAGAACCCCCACCCCCTCATACAGTTACATATTTGACCACAGAAGTCTTCTGTGTTAATCATTGTTGAGTGAAAGAACAGAAAAAGCACTTTGAGTTTGTATGTGACTTTCTTCCCCTAACTGTGCCTCTCTCTGAAATATAAAGAACTCTTAAGACTCTGGATGTAGATGAAAGAGGTAGATTTTTGTTTTGAGAGAAGCTGAGAGAAGTGGACATGTTTTACTATGTTTTGAATTTAGGTCTTTCCCTGCATTATAGAATCTGATTTCCAACAGAAAATTTCAGCATCTGTTTTGTGATTTGATGAATGGCTTTGAGCTGTTAATTTAATTGCTTCCTGGTAAGACACTAATGACCTCTTTGTTCCACTAAATACTAGTGTGTTTAGTTATAAATTAACCATAACTAAACACTTGGAGCTCTAATACTTACAATGCATACTGCTTAGGTTCAGGTTCTAGCAACCAGAGTTGGTGTTACATATGGCCTGTGGATTTTGCTACCAAAATCTGTTGTAGGTGAGAAGGCCGTTAAATTTATCATAATAGCAAACTCAGAGAAAAAACCTATTGCAATATGAGCAAAGAACAAAATAGAAAAATATCTCAACACATTTCTAGGTCTGAGAAATCCCACTTGATGTTTTCAGCTTAGGAGCTGGAGAACTGGAGTTTGGATGTTTCCATTCCCAACTATCTGATAACCACTTGTTCTCTGGGTGGCCACCAAGCATGAGGGAGTGGCAGGGGAGTTAAGCAAAAAGTCTGGGCTCTTACATTTATCTACTCATGACCAGGTTTCAAATGTTCCTTCAAGAGTGAGAACATCTTTATATATTTCATGGGAATAGATATTAATTCACCATTTCTCTAGGTCTTCTGGCATGCATACTGAGTGTTGATTTGATTGGTTATTGAAATTAGGGCATTGCAGCTCCCACTGAACTTTAATTGGCTTCCTCTTGGAATACTGCCAAGTAAGATCTTCTCCCAAAGGCCACCAAATAAACAGGAGGCCACAGAAGGTCTGGGTCTGCCTTTGGCAACTAGAGTAATGCAATTGCTTGGGACGTCTACATCATTGGGAGATTTATTCCCTGCCTTCTTTGAAATAGCACTTTCTCACCAACTAGAATTCTCCTAAAGCTCCAAGATAAATATTTTTGGAAACCTAATGATATTTGATTTTCTCAAAACTGAGAAAAAGATAAGGTGCATATTCAGGAAGGAAAAAGGCAGGAATCTCACTCTCACTCTCCATTCCTAGCTGAGGCATATTTGGTTTCCAAATTGTCAACAAATGGAGCAGCTGCAGGAAATTGAAAGAGCTGAAGCTGGAGTGAAAGGGTTGCACTGCTCCTTCATTTCCAGAACCAAGGAAGGCTGCTGCATGGAATGTGGACCTCCCACATACGGACCTGATTTGATGTCAAAGCTGGTATAAGAAGCCAAGGGACACTTTCACCAGAAGGAGCAAGGATTCTACGAAACGGAAGATTTGTGATGGTGCTGTTAAAGAGGATAAAAGAATACGTGTGTAAGCCAAATCTCGAGTTCTTTCTTTCTTCTTAATAACCCCCACCCAAAGTAAAAAAAAAAAAAAAGTGTATTTGGCATTTCAATTACTGTAGTATGCGTTAGATGAATTATTATTGAGTTTAAATTTGAATCCTTTTAAAGGAAGCCTGCAAGGTTTGATATTGTTAAACCTCAGGGTCTCTATCACTTTAGATGTTAGAAAAGAATATATGATCACATTTCAAAAATAGTAATTTAAAGTTTTCGTTTTCTGGAAAGATGTGTTACTAACCTTAGAACTCACTTATATTTTTTTTTGTTAAACATGGCCATGAAGTTCATGTTAAGAATGGATTTGAATGTCTCTCAAAATGAAACTCTACATTGAACATGCAGGTCATAGCCATCAACTCCATCAGCAATACTTCAAGCTCAACCTTCAAAATAAATCCAGAACTAGACTGTTTCTCTCCGACCTCACTGCTGCCATTCTGGTCTGAGCCACCATTACCTCTCACAGTCACTTCCCAGCTGTTCTCTCTGAATTCAATTCTGATTCTCTTCAGTCTTTTCTCAATCCATATCTCAAGTCAGGTACTGTTACTTCTCTGTTCAAAACCTTAGGGCTTCTTATACCACTCAAAACCAAAGTCTTACAATGGCTCCCAAGGTCCTACATGATCTTTTTCCTATACCTACCCTGTTCTTACTCTACTGTCTCCTTCTAGTTTCTGTTCAGCTACTCTGGCCTCCTTGTTATTCATCAAATGTATTGTGGACATCATAGCACTACTTATTTCCTCTGTCTGAAACTCTGTTCCTTTGTAACACTCACCTCTTTCAGCTCTTTACTCAAATGTCACTCTTAGTGAGATTTTTTGTGACCAAGTTATTAAAAATTACAGTTCTCCCCATAACTATTTCTATCTTCTTTGCCTGATTTGATTTTCCATAACATTGCCACTTAACATTATTATTGTTTTTACTCACTTCTTTTGTTTGTTTTCTGCCTATCCCTACTAGAAGATAAGCTCTTATGCTGGCTTTATAGTAGGCATTCAAAAATATTTTTAAATGAATGAATAAGACACTGCATTCTTACTCTTTGTAATCTTGTGATGTGTTCCCAAGGTCCAATCTAAAGAGGGGTAAAAAATTTAGAGAATGTGGGGTATTTAATAATAGCATGATATAGCAATTATCCAATAACCAGCACTCACCAACCAAATACACAATAAGATCAGGTAGTGCCAGGGGTTTTAGGTTCTAACACTACTACTTTTTCCTGAATGTAACTGAATTTTCAAGCTCTTTGTCCTTGGTTTTGTACCTATCTTAGTAGACTGTGACATATCAGAACAAATCTCAAATCCAACCCCAGATTCATTAAAGAATAATCAGATCTTTTACTAAAGATTTCTTAGAAAGACTGAAAAACATTACATTGCACATTACAAGAAAAATTTCTGTAAAAGCCCAGTTTAAATTTCTCTTTTTCTCCATCATTCCATTCTAAGGATTTACCACATATTTTTTCTTGTCTCTTTCTCTTTTCTTCTATGGTTCTCAGAAACTCTGTAAGATAATTCAAAGCTTTAACGAGTATCCAGATCTAATTTACTTGATCCAGATTTTGAATTATCATGTCATTTCTCAGCAATATTTGTTTATTCACATCTAGACATGGTAATTCCTCTGATTAAAACTTGTTACAGTCTTCCTATTGCCTAGAGAGAGCATGAACACAGGAGAATTGCAAAGGTTCCTCTTGATTACTTTCAGAGTATTGATCAGCACATGCATGTGAGGAAACTATCTGAGGCTGAGGAAAGAACCTTTCCAAGGTATTAGAGGAACTAGTGCCCACTGCTCATAAATACGTAGAAGTAGCCAGACTGAGAAACTTCATATTTCATGAGGCATTAGGTAGAGTCCTCATAAGGGTCCTGTATCAGTAGTAGTAAATACTTGGCTCTTAACTAAATGCTATTCTGGTCCCACCAAACAAATTGTAAGAGCAAGACCTGAAAAAAATTAAGCTATTTAAAATAAGTTAACTCTGCTGGGTGTGGTGGCTCATGCCTGTAATTCTAGCACTCTGGGAAGCTGAGGCAGGAGGCTAGATCAAGGTAAGAAGTTTGAAACCAGCCTCAGCAGAGCAAGACCCCATCTCTACTAAAAATAGGAAGAAATTAATTCACCAACTAAAAATATATAGAAAAAATTAGCCCGGCATGGTGGTGCATGTCTGTAATCTCAGCTACTTGGGAGCCTGAGGCAGGAGGATCACTTGAGCCCAGGAGTTTGAGGTTGCTGTGAGCTAGGCTGATGCCACAGCACTCTAGCCAGGGCAACAGAGTGAGACTCTGACTCAAAAAAATAAAATAAAATAAAGTAAGTTAACTGCATTGCAGAATAAAGAATATTCTGTAAGAATATTTATAGGAATAATGTGTAAGAATATTTATAGGAATACAAAAATATCCAGCACTCAACAAGGCAAAAGTGCAATGTCTAGCATTGATTACAGATTACCAGATATAAAAGAAGTAGAAAAATATGACTCTTAAAGAGAAAATTCAATTAATCAAAACTCACCTAGAATTGACACAGGTATTAGGACTGCAAACAAAGACATTAAAACCACTATAATAATTGCATTCCATTTATCCAAAAAGCAACATGTAAACGTAGAGGATATGAGATAGACTCAACTCTAATTTCTAGAGAGAAAAAACTATGTCTGATTTGGGATGAAAAAGACATTGTATGATATAAACAACAGATTATACCAGTCTTCACAAACTTTTTTATTATCATCCCTAAAGAGTCTTTTTGTATTTTTTTTCTAATCACCTCCATTCCCTATGAAATTTATAATCACACATATACTGTGTAAGATTTTTCTTTGCCTCGCAAGAACCAACTTTTACTCTCTTGGGAGAGATTTTCCTCTATGGAAAATGCATGAATTACATATTCACGTAAAATATCTTTTTATAAGGACACCTATCCTATTGGATTAGGGCCTCACTCTTACGATCTCATTTAACCTTAATTACCTTCCTTAAGGGTCTATCTTCAAATACAGCCACATTGGGAGAGGGTTAAGACTTTGACATATGAATTTTGGTGGTGGGGGCACAAAATTTAGTCAGTAATGCTTACCATATATCATATACTAAATTTAACTCAAAATGGTTTCAAAATCTAAATAACTACAAAACATCTAGAAGATAACATAGAAGAAAATCTTCATAATACTGAATTTGGCAATGATTTTTATGACATGACACTCAAAATCTAGTCAACCCAAGCAAAATGACAAATAGGACCACATAAACCTCAAAAACTTCTCTATATCAAAGGAAACAATCAAAGTGAAAGGGCAACCTACGGTGTGGGAGAAGATATTTACAAATCATATATTTGATAAAGGGTTGATATCCAGAGCATATAAAGAGCTCCTACAATTCATTGACAAAAGACCAAATAACCTGATTTTAAAAAATGGGCAAAAGACTTGAATAGACATTTCTCCAAAGAAGTTATACAAATGGACAGCAAACATATATAATGCTTAAAATCACTAATCATTAGAGAAATGCAAATCAAAACCACAATAAGATATTATGTCACATTTTCTAGAATGGCCACTATCAAAAAAAAAATGAAAAAAACACCCCAATTATTGGACAGAATGCGGAGATTGATATACTTGCTCACTGTTGGTGGGAATATAAAATGTTACAGCTTCTATTGAATACAATATGAAGGTTTCTCAAAAAATTAAAAATAGAATTACTATATGATACAGAAATCCCATTGCTATAAACTGAATGTATTCCTTCAAAAGTCATATTTGTAGTCCTAATGCTCAATGTAATGGCATTTGGAAGTAGGATCTTTGGCAGATAATTAGGTTTAGAGGAGGTCATGAGTGTGGAGCCTTCATGGTGGGATTATTGGTCTTATTAGAGAAAGAGACAAGTTTCCTTTCTATCTCTACCATGTGAGGGTAAAGCAAGAAGGTGACCATTTGCAAACCAGGAAGAGAGCTCTCACCAGACACTGAATCTCCTAAAATCTTGGTTTTGGACCTCCCACTCTGCAGAACTCTGAGAAATAAATGTTTGTTGTCTAAACCACTAGTCTATGGTACACACCCACTTCATGGTTATATAATTTTCTTATATTCAAAAGAATTGAAATCAGAATCTTAAAGAGATATTTACATACCCATATTCATTGCAGCATTATTCATAATAGGCAAGAGGCAAAGGCAAAGTAAATATCCATCTGTGGATGAATAAAGAAAATGTGTTATATATGTGCAATGGAATGATATTTAACCTTAACAAAGAAAAGAATTCTGTCATGTTCTACAAAATGGTTGAAACTTATGCTAAGTGAAATAATTAAGTAAATAAAAGACAAATTCTGTATGATATAAATTATATGAAGTATCTAAAGTAGTCAAACTCATAGAAACAAACTACAATGGTGGTTTACAGGAGCTGGGAGGAGGAAGAAATGGGGAGTTGTTCAGTGGGTATAGAGTTTTAATTTTATAAAATAAAAAAGTTCTAGAGATCTGCTGTACAACAATGTGAACATAATTAGCATTACTGAACTGGACACTTAAGAATAATTAAGATGAGGGGAAAACATAAAACAAATAAAAAAATAACTGAAGGACTTCTTTCTCAGCAGACCTACTCTATAAGAAATGTTAAGGAACTCCTTCCAGTAGAAGGACTATAACACAGATGGGAGTAAGGACTGACACAAAGAAATATAGAGCACCAGAAATGGTAACTACAAGAGTAAATGCATGACATTTTCTCATTATCTAAGTTTTTAAATAAGATAATTGGTTATTTAAACAATAATCATAACACTGCATTGTGGAGTTTATAACATATGAGTAAGCACAAGCACATTTATGCTATGACAATGATAGCATGAATGCCAAGGGGATAGAAACGCAAGTATTCTAGTGTAAATTTTATACTATATGTACAGTTGTATTACATCATTTGAAGGTAGATTGTGATGAGTTACTATGTGTACTAAAAATGTTAAGAAAACCACTAAGATTTCCAAATAATTATAGCTCCAAACCCAAAAAAGAAGATAAAAAATTATAAAAACTAATTAATACAGATGAAGGCACATAAAGGAGATGATAGGAACTAAGGACAGATAGGAAAAAATAGGATGATACATGTAAATGTAATCATATCGATGATCACATTAGATATAAGTGGTTTATACCCTGAAATTAAAAAGCAAAGCATTTCAGATTGAATAAAAATGTGAGACTGGGGGTATTCAAGATGGCTGACCAGAGACACCAGCTACCAAAGCATCTCAGAAAGAAGGAAAAGTTTTAGATGAAAGAGAAAAAAACAAGCAAACAAACATAGATTGAGTATAATTCTGAGGGAAAGGTGTCAGAACTTACAAGAGACTCCATGGGAAGAAGTTGTGGTGCAGAACAAGACAGAGCAAAATATCAGCAGAGATTAACCACTGAGAGGCGTGGAGTCCAGCAAAAAGGATAGGTAGAGTGGGTTGTGTCTCCCTCTCTCGTACACTCTGACAATTGGCAGTTGGAGAGATTTTCTACCCCCATGAGCCCAAAAGCTGCTGCTGCCAGTGAGCTGGGAGTTTCTTGTGCACAAAGCACTAGGCTCTCAGCCCTGCTGGGGCACTTCCCATCACTACAGACCTGAGCTGGGACAGCAGGCACCATATTGCTTCTCTACTGACTATGCACCTTTGTCCTCCCCAGGGGGCTTCAACTCCTGGGGTTTTGTCATTCTTGTTCCCACACAAATATCTACCAACTCCAGCCCAGTCTGTGGAAGCCACAGGGGTCCAGCGGGTCCTGGGTGATTGACAAGGCTCCAGAGCCTGGGCATTCTGGACGGGCTGTCTGCCAAAGTGAGAGGGACAGAGATGACCAGAGTTCTAGCTTTCTTCCATCCAGACTCTTTTCCTCCCCTTCCACTCTCCAACCCACAGTTGCCGAGAAAGACAATTGAGCCATCACACGAAGGTTTCCATAGAGTGGGACTCAAACCTTTCCTCTTACGCTCCTGCAGTGGACTGAAGGGTCCTTGGACTGTGAGCTGCCTGCTCACTAGCCCTCTCTGGTACTGTTTGTTTGGAAGCTCCATCATAGCAGGACACACCCTGAAGCAGAGGGACATCAAACCTGCTTGAGCACCCCATAGGCCAGCATACTTCTCCCTGGCATGGTCAGGGATTGACTTTTGGGGACCTGGGGAAAGTCCCCCAGGCCAAATCCTGTACCCTCAGGTCTCGACCATGTTGCTTGGGGGCATGGAGGGGAGATTGGTGAACTAGTCTTGGGAGGTGAGGGAGCCCATGTAGACAGATTGGAGAAGGGAGTGCAGTGTGGGTCCTGGCTGCAGTGTACATGTGGAGCACCCCTCCCCCCACAGGAAGGCTGTGCTCTCAGCTCAGCCAGGGATGCTGGGTGGGGAACCTCCCAGGCCACAGCACAAACATGAAGAAGCTCAGCTAACCTGAGATCCTGCCTGCCAGCAGATACCTCTTAGAATAGTAAAAATTAAAAAAAATTTGGGGGAAGTGTTGGGGAGAATGTGGAGGAACTGGAACTTTCATATGCTCCTGTTGACTATGCAAAAAGGCACAACTCATATTGGCAAACAGTTTGGCTGTCTCTTAGAAATTTAAACATATACCTACCTACTAGCCTCTTAGAAATTTATAGAAGCTTTGTTATATCCAAAACCAGTAAACAATTCAAACACCTATTAATAGTGAAGGTATAGACAAATTTATGTATATCCACACAATGGGATACTACTTTGCAATGAAAAAATATGAACTATTGATAAATGCAAAAACATCCATGAATCTCAAATTAATTGTGCTTGTTGGAAGAAGCCAGAGAAGAAAAAGTACATACTGTATGATTGTATTCATACAAAACTCAAGAAAATGCTAACTAATAATGTATAATGAGAAAAGCAGATCAGTGGTTGCCTGGCAAGAGAGATGGGAAAAAGTGATGAGGAACAGAAACGGGAGATTACAAATGTTTTCAAGGAAATGCTGTGGATGATGGATATGTTCACTATCTTGACTGTGATAACGGTTTCACATGTGTACACAAATGTCAAAACTTATCAAATTGCATGCTTTAGATTTGTGCAGTTTATCTTAGGTGTCTTATACTTCATCAAATAAAAATGAAAATGGAAAAAAATAACTTTGGCTTAAGCTATTGGAAGAATGGATTTGCTGTTAACTGAGATGGAGAGCAGGTTTGGGGGAAGATCAAGAGTTCAGTTTTGTATATGTTATATTTGAGATGATTATTAGACATCTAAGTGAGACACCAAGTGAACAGCTGACAATTCAAGTCTGGAGTACAAGGAACAGGTCTGGGCTATAGATAAAAGTGAGAGTCACTGGCACAGAAATAGTATTTAAAGTTTTGGTAGTTACTCAATGACTCTGTGATTTGCCTCCAGAAACACATTCCTAAATCATCCAACATGTACTGACCATCTACTGCACTTATCCAGATAGAGTTGAAGAGACAGTGATACACATGACTGTATTATGCAACATATCCTGTTATATAAATGATCTGTGCATGATGCATCCTTCTATTTTACAGTGAGTATATTTTTTTAAATGTGACTTTGTTTTAGATATCTACTAAAGCTCCGAAGGACTGCTCTTGAAAAGGGAGCTGAGGGTCTATGAAAGAACTTTCTTTAGTAAGGGAGTTTGAAAGCTAGTGCTTAAAAGTCTGTGCTAATGACCTGGTAATTGTTTTAATGGATTTTCAATGAAGTGTGAAGTTCTCTGCTGACTTCTCAACAAAGTGTAAAGTATGGTAAAGTATGTGAGAGAGTTATTCTCACTCCTGTGAATTTGTCTCTATCTGTTTGTGAAATCAAGAAACATTGCCAAGTACAGCTTTGGCCACTTTACCAGTACAAATTCACTTTGCTGTTGGGAGCCTTCAAGCAGCCTTTCAGATGTTCAGCTAGTGGGATGAGACAAAGGTCAGGCTGCCTTTAGAAGTGCAATCAGCCCTTTCCACCAAAAGAAAGGCCCCGGCAGATCTAAGAACAAGGACTCTGAGGAAGACAGCTTGGGTTTCTGGCAGCTACCTTGCTCAAGACTTGCCTCTCACCTGGAAGAGAACAAATCCTTCTCTAGGCTTTCTCACTTCCTGTTTCTAATACATTTTGTTCCAAATGTGGCCTTCCAAACCCTATGGAAGGACATTTCCATGTAACTGATGTTAGTGCTCTCATTGAGGTTTACTGCTGTGTTATTTTGGGGTGTGCATTTACATTAATTGAGAAGTAATTGAGGACCAGACACCTTTCCTCACAATGCTGAAGGGCTGGAGAATGCACAGTTTTGTGTATTATGAAACCTGTTTTCTTCTGCCTTTGTTTGGTGGCATCTGATAGATTTGGAGAGCATGGAATGGTCAAATGTTGTTTCTTATTTGGGTCTCTAAGGCTTGGAGTCCATGCCCTCTATGTTGGCTCCTCAGTAGAAATACTAAGATTGTTCTAAGGGCACTGAAAACTCTATTCCAGGGTGGAATTCTCCCACACAGTTGTGTCTTAGGTCTTAGTCAATACATTTTAAGGTGATACTATGAATGAAACAGTCTCATAGATCTGAACTCCACTGAGATTCTTAGTGTTGCAGCAAATTAACAGACCACAACTACCTTGGGTCAGGCTCCTTGAAAATAGATGCTGAGATGGAGATTTGCATAGAAGAGGTTTATTGGGTAGCTCTCTCAGGAACAGTGCCAGTGGGGGTGTGAAGAGAGCAGGAATGGATGGAGGGACCAGCTGAGCTCTGGTACAGTTGCAAAAGAGACCTCAGCCATTTCCATGGGGAGCTCTGGATCTGGGATGGCCCTGCAGGGTTGTTCCAAATTGGGGCAAGATGGCTGGGTCTTTGTACCCTCCCATCAACCAGTCACTGGGCGCAGGTTGCCCATGGAAGGAGAGTGTAACCTTGTAGAAGGGGGCTCCCCTTGGCAGAGGGCAATTCTTGCATTGGGGTGTGGAAGATAGCTATGAACAGCCAGCACACCTGGTGGCTGAGGGAATGTGTCCTGAAGGGGAGATCTGTGTCATACACCTTGGCATTCTTTACGTGATTAATAATGTATTAACAAGATTACGATATAGCCTACTAGTGACCACTATAAAGTTTTATTTTGCTTTGAAATTTATCAGCTATTTGTACTAATAATAACAAAAATAACCTTTTTGAGGGCTTACCTTGCACTGTTCACTATCATATACTATGCAGGTGTCCTCAAACTATGGCCCACGGGCCACATGCAGGTGTTTTTGCCCGTTTGTTTTTTTACTTGAAAATAAGATATGTGCAGTGTGCATAGGAATTTGTTCATAGTTTTTTTTAAACTATAGTCCAGCCCTCCAACAGTCTAAGGGACAGTGAACTGGCCCCCTGTTTAAAAAGTTTGAGGACCCCTGTACTATAGGTTTTCTTTTTTTAAAATCCACCAGTTGACTCTGTAAAAATAGATATCACATTATCATTTTTCTTGAAAAATATTTTTTCAGAGAGATAAAGTGAATTATTCAAGGTCACACAGCTCATATTCGATTCACATCATATGTTCTTTCCTCCAAGTTACACTGTTGTCTCTGCCCAGCCATATCGATCTATTTGTGTTTCCCAAATATATCTTACTTTTCCTTAGTTACATTTGTGTGATGTTATTCATTGGGATGTCTTGCCTTGCTTGTCTGCCTGTTAAGCATTCATTCATCCCTCAGTTTCAAGATCATTTCTCCTGTGAAACTTTCCTGGACGCCCTCACAAATTTATTTGCTTTTTGTTTATGATCTCAGAACACTATATATGGTACCTAATAGGTGATTGATATGTGTTCATCAAATATGTACATGAGTTCATACTTTTAGTCATGTTGCTTTGGTTTGGGGTTTGCCTAATGAATTTCTTCCAAGAAGCTCCTCAATATTTGGAACTTCTCTGTTTTCTTGCAGCTCCCAGTGGAAGGTTGTGATGTGCACCCAAAGCATTTCTCTTGACTGACCAAGTTGAGCATCATTATAGCGAGTATTGGATACTATTAATATTACTGGATTTTCCACTTTAGGGCTGCTTTTGTTATTAAATTTGTCTTGCATGTATTGTTGAACCCTAAATGCCACCCCTCCCCACCTTTTTTTCCCTCTCTGCTGGGATTGGTTAAACAGATACAAGTAATGTCTGCAGCCAGCCTAGATAGATCCCAGAGCCTTGAAGCATTTTAGATGCTACTGTTCTACAGTACTGGTATAAATCTGTGAAGAGTGACACCATGTTGGAAGGGAACTTTGGAATTGTCTGCTACAGAGGTCACATAGTGGTCCCTAAGCTGACTCAGGACCCAGATGTATTTGGTTTGTCACGGGCAGTACTTTTTTTTTTTTTTTTTACAGGCAGTACTTTTTTAAAAATTAAAATTGAAAATATTAGACAGGTCATTTGCTCTTCAGTTCTATAAGTTCCTCCTGTTCCATACTGGTTAACATCTGTGCTTTATTCATTTAAGCTACATGTCTATCTGCTGAGGACATTTGAGTCTGAGACTCCTGGTTCTGGCCTAACCTCCCCACTTTGTAATGGATAAAAAGTGGTCCACTTTGCAAATGGATAAAAGGTGGTTCCGTGAGAGATCTCACAGGATACAGTGAAGTGAAATTCATATAGTGACACACAAATTTTATTTACTATTACTTGATTCCACGCTGATGGTATGCTCAGTCTGTTTGTATCTGAAGGCATAATAGATATTTTGATTCGTTTTTCTACTTTTCATTTTCTCAAAGAGAAACATTGACAGGATTTCAGGATTTCAGTGTGGAGAAGAACAAAGTATTAATAACAGCAATTCTCAGCACTGCTTTTCTGATGAAAAACCTAAGATTGTAAGTAAAAGTACATACTGCTAAATGACCTTGGTGGTCTAAAAACTTACTCTAAGTTCTAAGCTGTGCCAGTGGGCCCATGGCCCTGGCTCTCTTCCACGTCTTCTTTTGTGTTCACTTTTAGATGGAACTAACTTGAATGTTACAATGCCATCACAGCCCAGGATATGCAACCCTGTTCCAAGATACTAAGTTTTGGAAAAGAAATATTCTGAATTAAAACAGGGAAAGACTCAAGCTTTTAAGTTCTTTGTAGAGAACATGGCTAGAGATAGCGAGCTCTAATAAACAGTGCTCCTCACATAGCTTTACCTCTTTATATTGGCAGTTCTGCCATGGAACATAGCCAACTCTGTCATCAGGAAGTGACTGTTGACCTTTCATGAATGCTTCTGAGCTGACAAACGGGCTAGTATCTGGGAGATTTCTTCCATCAGACTACATATGGATTTGAAAGAATGTATACTGGAAAGTAGCTAAAGTTGGCCTCCACTATTGCCTGTGCTTTGCTGGGACTGTCAGGAGTGGTACAGTGTAGACATAGTCAGAGAGCAAGTGCCACTTGCTTGGCTCCTCTCCTGCTCAGCCTAACACAGTCCTGAAGGTGCCTGGCACATTCTTATATCAGCTTTGTCTGTCTGTTTTACCAAACTCTCTCCTACTGGTGGCAACGCTCTTTGTAACCTGTAAATCACCTATCTACTCACATCCATTTCAATGCATTTTGGTCCTAATCATCCTAGTAAAGGGTGATTCTAAGTAAGTGGGTGCTATGGTTTGACTATTTTTGTCTCCTCTAAAATCCATGTTGGAACTTCATCCCTGATGCAACAGTATTAAGAGGCGTGGCCAATAGGAGGTGATTGAGTTGGGAGGTCTCTGCCCTCTTAAATGAAATTAGGTACTCTTATAGAAGCATCTGACAGAGTGTGTTCACCCTTGTCCCTTTTTCCTTCCTTCCCATCTGCCATGTGAGGACACCACACTCTTCTTCTCCAGAGGAGCAGCAACGAGGTGCCATCTTGGAAGTGGAGGTCCTGATCAGACACCAAGCCTGTCCATGACTTCATCTTGGACCCCCAGTCTCCAGAGAGAGTTGTGAGAAGTAAATTTCTGTTCTTTACACATTACCCAGTCTCAGGTATCTTGTGACAGCAGAACAGACTAAGACAGTGGGTCTACTAGAATAATAAATGCAGATCTCGGAAGTAAGAACTTACAATTAATTCAGAAGTGACTCAAGTATGAAGAAAGAGAGGCTGACCTTGTAAGTCTTACTGTACATTTCTTACTACTAAACTTACCAAACAAAATGAACTAAATAATTGTTAATGTTGAACATTAACAATTAATTAATGTTGAACATTAAATTTGTCTTCTGGTCATTTCTTTCCCTTTTAGGTGCCCACACTCATAAGTACAATGTTCCCTAAATATTAATTCAGCTTTGTTATTTAATCAAAAAGCCCTCTGTTCTTTTCTCACTTTACATTAGCCTTTTGTAGGGCATACTATCAAAAGCACCAAAATACCACATAATTTATATCTACAGCTTCTGTTTCAAACCCCAATCTTCATGGACAAGTGACACTTTTGTGACTTTTTGGAGACTATCATTAAATCATTAATCATTAAATCATTCCCCAGGGTCAGCTTTCCCTTTACTAGTCAATAATACAATAAATCAGTATTCTGGTGGTTTGTAGAAGATGTTGAAGCTAACTTTAAGAAACACAAAGATTCTACTATTTTTCCAAAAGTTTTAATTTGTAGTTCTTTATCATTTGAAAGCATGAAAGCCTCCCTTTCAAACTATTATCCTAGTTTTACTCTTGATTCATTTTTTTTAGAATCCTAGCTGTCTGTGTTTACCTGTTTGTGTTAGCCATTAACTCCACCTTTCCTGACCTCAACATTTGTTCAGGCTTTGTGTCTTTTTATTTGTTGCCTGCAAATGCTTGGTAAATGCACTCACATTTATTTATTCAAGAATAAAAATTGAGGCTTATTGAGAGGCCACTATTGTGCCAAATATCTTGAGAATAAGGTAACTTATTAAACAGAGGATCTTATTCAGGGCTGCCTACACTTATGAGGCTCTGCTCTGCCTTAAGTGTTCTCCCATGGGTCACCGATTCGAAACAAAGTGTGGCATAGAAATTATTTGTGAACCAGTGAAAACAAGCATGGAAACAAGGGCATGCTCAGATAATAGGGAGTATAGCTGCAAAGGAGGCACAGAGAAATGGGGCATCTAACCAAGCCTGCGGAGGGTCAGTGGGCTTTTTCTGGAGGATCTGAGCTAAATCTTGAAGGAAAAATTGGAGTTATCCAAATGAAAAAGGAGTGGAAAAGTGTTGTAGGCAGAGGAAATAGCCCAAATTTGGTGGTTCCAGATATCATGTTGTAGTTGGAATTATGAATTATTCAATCTTGCTAGAGTAAAAAGGAAAAGACAGCAATTGGGGTGGGGTGGATGGGGAGACAAGCCTCTGGGCTTGGGCAGAAGGTAGCTCCAAGAAAACTTTCTATGCTATGATGGGGAGCTTGTTTTGATTCTATAGGCAATAGGGAACCATTGGAAGATTTTTTAATGGAGGAGGAAGTAAATTTGAGTTTTAGATCATTTTCTGGGGTACAAGGAGAAGACATTTGAAGGGAGTGAGTTCTAGGGTAAAGCAACCAGTTGGAAAGTGGCTGCAGCTATCCAAAGGAGGATGAGAATGGCTGAGACTGGGGTCGAGGAAGAATTAGAAAGAAAGGGATCAGTCTGAAAAATCTCTGGGAAAGTGTGTTGTCGGTGGAAGGTGAGTGGATGGGCTGAGCTGTCATCTCTCTGCGAGTGGCTGTAGGTGTAGCCTCTGCGGTGATGCTCGATTTGAGAAAGGCCCCATCCTTTCCTGGGATGGTGCTCACCACCTTGTGCGCTGTCAGCCCATTAGGCATCTGATTCCACGGGGGGAATGCTCGCGCAGCACCGCGCTTCCTGCAGTGGGCCCAACGCGCTACTCAGAAGTTTCCTTTTTTTGCTCTTAAATATCTAAAGCTTAATCCCACTGAGGAGAGCTGTCATTTTCTTCCTAGACAGGAAGCTGAACTGTCTTTTTGAATACCCCGGGGCTTTCTGAACTCACAAACCTTTCATTATAAGTACTTGTCTAACTTACAGGGAAGTTACCCAGAGTTCTCACCATGTGCTATGCTTAAGATGCAGTTCACGTGTCTGTAGTTCTGCCCTTGGCACATGGGCCCATCAAGACAAGCTGCCTCTGCAGAGGTCAGAGGAACTGTTCTCTGAATTTGGGGGTGCGTCTCACTGAAGGGGGGTGTTGTCTATGCCCCAAAAGGCCGGTAGACATGCATTATATCCACAATTTGTAGAAAGCTATATAGCTGCCAGAAGAAGAAGAAGAAAAAAGCCAAACCTTTTTTTAAATTAAATCATTAAATCATTTAAAATATTTATTGAGAATTAACTCTGTGTCCTGGCATTATATTAGGTGCTGGCTGGTTTGCTTTCCATCTGAAATTAGATATTTGGCAAATTAGGGCTAAGATGGCTCATTGAGGTCAGGGGATAGAAGTGGATGACAGCCACTGGCCCTGCACTACCCCTGCTGCAGCCAGGACAGCCATGGCAGGGTTAGTGTATGGCGGGACCTAACCCAGAGTCATGGAGCAGAAGCCAAAGGTTAGGAGTTAAGGGGTCAATGTTGCAAGCATGACCTCCAAAGAGGAAGAAAAGGATGGGGAAGTGAGACACACCTAAGAGATGGGGCCAGACAGGGATGGCTCCAAGTGGCAGCAGGTTCAGAATGGTAGTGGAGGGTCCGGGACATTGGTGCACATGCAGATGGGAGTGAGAGGCTCACTGTATGGGATGTTGGGGAGTTACGTGTGAGTTCTTGCCACTGACTTCAAAGCACAAGTTTGTGGCAGACATGACCTTAGAGGTGCAAGGAAAGGGCTCTTAAAAATTTACTTTCTGCTTGTAGGAGATAACATGAAAACGAATCCAGGCAATCAGTGCAATAGGGCAGCCAGCGTGCAATTGAGTGTCATATCATAGAATGTAGGAGCCCAGAGGAAGAGTTCAATGTGGATTTGTAGGAGCTTGGTGAATGAAGTAGAAGTTGGACAATTGTCCTACCCAAAAACCTTATTTCTTTTTAAAACCAAATTCATCATTTCTTTTCTGACTCCATATTATCCACACTCCCCATGTTAGCTTCCACCTGTGACATTACGGCTTGAACTTCTGCTCAGGAGCAACTGCTCTTGTGACAGTTCACCTGGATGAAGCTAAGTCAGAACCAATTGCCCCTTTAGAGCTTGTATCCAGCCCCTCCTTACCTGTAATTTACCTAAGCAGAGGGCTCTGCTAAATCATGAGGTCCTGAAATATTCATTATTTACTGTTGATTTCCCTATGCATCTGGTCCAATGAACAATGCAGAATGATTCATGTCAGTGATCTCCACACTATTCCCTTTCCTATTCCCATGATTTTGAAAACTTTACCTTTGTTACTCTTGAATTTGCCCCTTTGATCTGGGTGAGCCTGTCCTCTTCCATCCCCACATTTGATCATTTCCAAGCTCCATTTTCCCATCTGCATTCCCCTTTCTTCCTTCCTCCTTCTTTCCTCATTCCGTCACCTTCTTTTCCATTTCTTCTTCTTTTTTTCCCCATCAGGAACAATCTTGCCCTCATGACTCTTGACATATATTCACCATCTGTACTATTTGTACTATTACTATGTACTTGTTAATACATCTGTTTGTAACTCCTCTCACATCATTTCTTCAATAAATGATTCACTCATCCATTTTTTTTTTTCATCAAATAGTTGCAAGTGCTAGAAACTGTGTTCTGTGCTGGACACACATGAGGGAATATGCCAGGAACCCGGCTCCCCAAATATTCACAGTGTGGCACATTTGAGTTGTCTCCCTCGTTAGGTTTTAAAATATTAAACACTGATGTTCATATTTACTTTAAAGTCTGCAATGCGTGTTCAAACTTTATTTCTAATTTGATTTTTTCACAAGTTTTAAATGTAAGTTTAGTTGAGTAGAATGAATTTTAAATAAAATATATTAATTTAACATGATCTATCTGATAATCAGAAAGGACAACCCAGGTGTTCTAACTTCAATGCCAGTGCTCCATCTACGCTGTGGTACTACAAGGAAGAGAACTTCTCCTCCAGTCCTCTCATAAATTTTCAATAGTGTGGTAATTAGCACTCCTACACAGTGAGTACTCAGTAGACTCGGGTCATCTTCCTGATGAATTTGCCATTGCCTGATGTTGTAACTGAAAAGATAAGGGACATCAAAAGTGGTTGACTCATCTGATTTTATTTGCCCAAGTACATTCGGCCCAAGGAAATGTTGTGCCTGAGAAGTGTCACACAGTCAAACTGGGACATCTTAAAACTTGGATCCTGGAAGAAAAACAAAATTTAGTTTTGGTTGTTTTACCTTTGCATGATGTGGTAGTGGTAGGGGTGGTGTGTGTATGTGTGTGTGTGTTTGTGTGTATGCACACGCATGTGCGTGTTTAAGGTTTGTTCTTTCTCTCTTTCCCCCTCTGACTTTTTTTATGGGCTTGAAGCATTTAAAAAAGATATTTGTTTGAAAGTACCATGAAGGCCAGTGGGAGATGAAGTGTTTTGAGTCACAGGCAGAAGTATCAGGCATACTATGGTGGTGGCGGTGCATGAGGGAGTTTCTTTTCTTGAAGAAGTGATTGCTTACCGGCAGCTCTGGGTGGGATTTGTGGTCCTCAGGATCCATGATCTCTTAGAGCTCACCATTGCTGGAGTAGAACATTGAGTTCAACGTGGACCAGCCATATGAGATCATCCTCAAGCAAGTTGTATCTCAACAGTACCATTGCCATGGAGAGAACTGCCTGTTGTTTCAACCTCTAGCATTCAATACAATTTAATTCAATTCCATTAAACTAACATTTGCTGATCATTGGTGAGCTTTTAGGTGCTCAGGGTTCCTGGAAGAATATTGCTCAAACAAACTGAAATAGTCTTTATCCCTCCTCCCCCATATGACAGTTTTTGTCCTGTTTTTCTATGGCCCCTAA